TTGCTATTTTGCCCAGACTGGTCTCAAACTTCTAGGCTCAAGCAATCCTCTCACCTCAGCCTCTCCAAGTGCTGGGATTACTAGTATGAGCCACTATGCCTAGGCCCTCATGTATTAAATAGGGCTAAAAATAGTACCTACCTCAGAGGTTGTTGTGAGGTTTCCATGAGTTAGTATAACCCAAGTATTAAGAAAAATGTCTGGGGCTGGGCATGGTGGCTCATACCTGCAATTCCTGCACTTTAGAAGGTGGGTGGTGAGGCCACAAGTTCAAAACCAGCCTGGGCAACATAGCAAGATACCATCTCTACAAAAAACTAAAGAATCAGCCAGGCATGGTGGTGTGTGCCTGTAGACCTAGCTACTCAAATGTCAGATTTTGGCAAATTACTGAGCACAAAGCTTAATTATTTTTCAGGAAAAAAGTGGCATGTTGCAAACAAACTTTTTAAAAGGTTTATCACCAAAAGAACAAGTTTCTACAAACAGCATTAAAATCCAAAACTGAAAATTTTATTGTAGCTAGTCATAATAATACCAAAAATAACTGTGATTTTAAAAAATAAGATATAAAAATTAATGTATTTTTTCCCCAAAATTTAAATCTGAAAATACTTATACCATACATTTTTAAAGACAGCTAATCACAGTTGTGGAATTTATTAAGTAAAGCTCACCACAAAAAATATACAGAAGGGAGATTTTCAAACACATAAAGAAGTCATTAGAAAATTTTGTTCACAGTAGTAAATTATAAAGATGGCTTTAACAGTTTCAGGTAAAAATGGAGATCTGTTACTATGAAATTATATATCAATTTCAACTATCTATACACATACTATATATTTTATAAACACACATTTACTATATATACAGTATATACCCAGTATGTATATACTACATGTGAAAGAATACAGTTGTATAAAACAAAGTCTCTTTCATTTCACCATAGAAAAAAAGAGATTTGCAAACTTTTCAATTCTCTGCAGAATTATATGGAAAATATTGTTACTGATCACAATTTATTTATACAAAAATCTTATGTAAGTAAATAAATAATGAGTGGGTAAATGCATTCCTAAATCAATAAATTCATTTATTACTAATTTATTATAATAGATAACAGACAGTAAAGAAAATAGTCAATAAACTCTTCATAAAATCTTTCCTTATGACAAATAATTTTTTTTCAGGATTAAAGTTAAACATAAACTCATGATAGCTATACTTCAATTATTGTTTAATTACTGATATTTTCCACTGCAAAACCACTGATCTGTGTAAGCTGTCAATTTAGGAAGGGAAAAATTTTACTCTAGTTCATGTCTCATTATGCTTCTACATTCCTTTGTCTATTTCATATGAGGATACTAAAAACATTTAAAATTTTTAAGGCAAAACGTTAAAACTTAGACGCATTAACTCAAAAGTTTCTGCTCTATAATCTGTACAATTTTAATGTATTTCTATAATCCATTATAGGAATAAAATTTAGAAACAAAATTGGCTTAAAATGATTCCTCATGTTAAATCAAAAGCTTTGGAAAATCTTTACATTGAAAATATTGACACTGCAGTTGTGAAAATAAGAAACTTTTCAAAATATTTCTCAGCTTTCACTAATAAATCTGTTTTAGAATCTTTGCTAGAAGTACATTTTTCCTGCTCCCTATTTTTTTGGTCATAGCATCATTTTAAATTCTGCTCCCTTCTCCATAACCCAAACCTGCTGCTCACAAGGGTAATAACTAATTCTGAGATGTCTTAAGTTTCCTGTAGACATTCAATATATAAAAATCAAAGTAAGCCAGGCTCAGTGGCTCAGCCTGTAATCCCTCGCTTTGGGAGGCAGAGGTGAGTGGATTGCCTGAGCCCGCGGGTTCGAGACCCGCCTGGGCAACTTGGCAAGACCCCATCTCTACAATAAATTAAAAAAAAAAAAATCAGCTGGGCATGATAACGTGTGCCTGTAACTCCGGCTACTCAGAAGGCTGAGGCGGAAGGATAGCCGGAGCCCAGCAGGTCGAGGTTGCAGTGGCTAGGAGAGGCCACTGCACTCCAGTCTGGATGACAGAGTGAGACTCCAACTCAAAAAAAATAAATAAATAAATAAAATAAAAGTAGTTATCAGTAAAATAAATAATACAAAATTTTTACAAAATGTGTACTAGGCACTGCACATTCATAATATAACTCAATAGCACCTATGGGATATATTTTTTAATGAGGAAGCTTAACCTTATTTAAATAATCTGTCCAAGATTACACAGCTTTTAAGTGGTAAGGCCAGAACTTGAACCTAGGTTGCTCTGGTTGGGAAGTCAATTAATGTAAAGTCTACAAAATGCTTTGCATTTATATACCACTTATTTAAAAAAAATATTTTTACATAGATTATCTAGGGTTTAACTCACAATACCCTTGAGAGGAAGGTTCTTAAGTTTTCGAACCTGAAAGTTCCACCCCTAACTTTACTTAGGAGGGCATGTACCTAAAGAGGCAGAACTGAATGAGGATCCCCTAGCTTTTAGTCTAGCATTATTTCACTTATAGATCATACAGAGCCACTTTTTCACTTGGTACAACTCATTACTCTTCCCTTCCCTCCCATATTCAGATAACCACACCTGTTAGTAAACATACATGCTGTGAAAATAAGTTGGTCACTGCATTAATAAAGACCATGTGAGGTTTATATCTATTCTATTGACCTCAGAAATGTCTTCCAAGTTTCAAATCACTTGTGTATGAATTGTGTATAATGGCAAAGCTTTTCCTCACATTCAACATTAGCAACAATGCAGTCGACAATTCCTGCTGCTGATCTTCCAGATTTCATCAATGATCTAAGTTATTGCTTTCATAAGTTCCCTAAAACTGAGGGAATTGTGAAGTAAAACTGCAGATTCATTCAACCACTTTCATATTGGCATTTTCTCTTCTAAAATGCTCAATGCTTTTAGCTGGTTTTCTCTTTCCAATTTTGGTCTCAGCCAGACAGGACTGGTTAGGACTTCCAGAGCACTTAAGGAATTCTTATTTGGTGGAATGTCACCTGGGCAATGAACTAACAAACACTATTTTCTTCGCCCCTCTAGCGATCAAGGAACCTCACTATGGAGAAAATGAATGAACACAACTACATTTATATCTGTAGCAGGCATGTCAACATAAGCATACTGATACATTAGTGATATTTTCCAGTATGGAAAATAAGTACAAAACTCTAAGATTGTAAATTAAGAAGAGATAATAGTAGTCTCTTTATAACTTGAGGAAAGCAAGATATTCAAGGTTGTTTTTCTAGTAAGGAGCATCAATAGGTCAGTTTTTCTATTTTGAACTTACTTTAAAAATACTTTGTTAAATTGCTATTATGCTAGAATTTTAAATTTTTGTTCTTAACAAAATAAGACCAACTTATTGTAGAGAATTTGGAAAACATAGAAAAACAAAAGTAAGTCAATCACGTCCACCACTCAGAGACAATGATTCCATCTACCTCATTTTTTAAGCTCTCTTTTTCACGTGTTATTTAATTATATTGGTTAGAAAACTACAAAGGCAACTGAGAATATAATTTTTCATATTAAGAAAAAGTGTAATTTAGATTTTAAAAACCAAATTTATAATTTTTGTAAGGACTTTCATTTGAAAAGAAACACGGAACTTTCTAAGTTTGCAGTACAAATAAAAGAGTTTAACCACAAACTGAAAAACACTCTTCCCCAAAGCACTGTTTGGAGTAAAAACACTGGCTAAACACTACATATGAAATGAGAGTACACTGGGTTGGACAAAACCTGGGCAAAACAATTTGTGTATTTTCACAAAATACTATTCATCAAAAACTGAAGAGGTCATCTAACAAATGGGAAAAGCTAAGGAGGGACACAAGTGATAGCCACAAAGCCGGCCAAGGAATTCATTGGGAGTGCCAATTAAGTAGGATTTTAGGGAGGAATGGCAAAAAGAGAAGGATTAAAGGCAGAAAATATGAAGTCAGCAATATCTCTAATTAATCTTCTTGCCTTTAAGTTTATAGCCAAATAAATTTAGTTTAATAATCCCAATCCAATCAGTTTCTTAAAAATTACTTCCCTTTCAAAGAAGCCTGGTCTGTTTTCCCTAAACCAGCCTGGGCCTCCTGCAGACCAAGACACAACACCATCTTTCAACGCCCCCCCATTCAATCGAGACTGTCGCATCACTAACACTCCGTTTTGAAGATGGTATATCTTTACTCCTTCAACTGGCCTCTCCTTCAGAGAAAAAAAAGTCCTGCATTTACCTTTCCAGTCCCACCCGAAGCATGTGAGCCCTTATAGAAACCTTTCTGCAGGGATGTCAGATAAAAACCCTTAGAATTACTGAGAAAGCACATTCAGAGGGAAGCTCTCGGTGATTCTGCAGTGAGGGCCATATCAGTGACATTCCTTCCCAAGCCTGTCTCACCGGAGACGCCTCTGCCTCCAGGGTTTTTCCTACTTCCCCGCTCCTCAGCCCTGTCAAGACAGTGAGTCTTTGGGGAAAAAATGAGCTTTGAGGAAAGGGACCGGCGGCAACTGCAGACCCCGAAGAATGACTGAAGTAATGCTGACTCGAAGCTCCAAAGGCTCCGAATAGGAAACCATAATGGCCGCACTCATTTCCAACCCTGGGAAAGGTGAACATCTCAATCCCTAGGTACCGGGGCGACTACGGGGGGGGGGGGGGGGTGATTGCTGATTATGCGTTTTCAAGAGGCTCAGTAAATCTGGCGAATGGGAACTGCTAGAACCAGATTTCCTTTACGTTCTCAACAATATGCCCTGATTTTCCCTCGTTATGTGGATACAAAACCCTGTATACAA